GAAAAAGTATATTATATTGAAATCAATTTTTTCCTCACACTAGAAACATAAATCCATTAATTTTGGGTTACCTTTGATATACAAATGTTGGATAATATTTTTTATTTAAATAGCTTATTTAAATGTGCTTATATAAACAGCTTATATAAATGTGTATATACAGGGGAAAAAGTATGGAAGCAAACAATTATTTCCGAAACTATTCATTTGTCGACAAAATGTCTTAGACATAATTTTTATGGTATGAAAAGATGTATTATGTGGCATAGACGGCATGACCTTGAAATGACCCTTACGAGCTGCATACAAATAACGTAAAGAATTTCAAATGGAACTCGTCAGTTTTTGTTACAGATTCTTGTAGCTGATGTCGAAACGTTTACAAAACACTGCATATGAGTCCCATTCCCTTAAAAACACTCCCAGTTACGAAACAATTGTGATACAAACAATTTGTATGCACATTGACATTGCTTACTGATTTCGCATCATGACGTTCAGTTGCGTCCACTAATAACATGTAATTGTACCTGTTGTCATATGATACACTGTCTATGAGTATTCATAGAATTTTTTTGATTTCTTGATCATCGCTACCTTATTTATTATTATCATTTATTTTATCCTTAAAAAAGTAGTGTCAATTGGCATACAAGTTTCGGATATTGTGTTTTGAAAATTTGCTATTTTTGTCGTTTTCTATCATAGGAATTGTTACTGATTTTCATTTCTGTAATTTCAAATGTTATTTTCACGATGGCCCGATTAACAGAACGAGAGCGAATATTGCTGTTGATGCGTGGTTGGGGTGAGAATGAAAGATTCAATTTCGTCGATACGAATTATCACAATTGTTTCGTAACTGGGAGTGTTTTTAAGGGAATGGGGCTCATATGCAATGTTTTGTAAACGTTTCGACATCAGCTACAAGAATCTGTAACAAAAACTGACGAGTTCCATTTGAAATTCTTTACGTTATTTGTATGCAGCTCGTAAGGGTCATTTCAAGGTCATGCCGTCTATGCCACATAATACATCTTTTCATACCATAAAAATTATGTCTAAGACATTTTGTCGACAAATGAATAGTTTCGGAAATAATTGTTTGCTTCCATACTTTTTCCCCACCCTGTATAGGTAATCCACAATTTGTGGAATTATGTTTTTAGTGTGAGAAAAAAATTGATTTCAATGTAACATTTCTTCTCGCATATTTTTATGCACATTTATGAGCGGTCTGGTCCCAGTTGTCAAGCTGCGCGGACGCGTATTTGTAACGAGCCGAACCGTATTATTATTATTGTGTATAAACGTTCTGTGATTACGTTTCAGTGTTCTATGTTGTATATTAAAGTTCTTAGTTCCTTAAAAGTGTTTATTCATTTCGTGCGACTCGCAAGCGGCCGATCCCTTCGTGCGCGCTTCGATATCTATCGAAGTCCTCGCCGCGGGCGTAACAATATAAATTAAAAAAATGTATAAATGTGAATAACATAATGTAAATATAGTCATGTTTCTTTGTGCAGGACAAATATTTAGAATGGCGTGTGTGATTAAGATGAAGGTGTATCATTTGCATGAAATTAATATAATTGCATTTTTCTGTAAATATACTAATCTTTAAGTAATAAATTTTAAGTGCGCGATTAAAAAAAAAGAAAATTACTACAAATTATTCTGAATCAATGTATGTATAAAATATATGTATTTCAATGATTTTCCTCGTCATCTTCGTCATCTTAAAAATAATTATTTTCTCAGAATTTATTTTAAAAAAGCAAAAAAATGAAGCTCATAAATAATAATTATTCATAAAAAGAAAAAAGAAAAGCTGTTGGAGCCTAATAGACACAGTAAATGGTGCATAATAATTAGAATTTTTTAAACGTGTTAAAATAATATACATATAACTGAACAAATGTTTCAATTCTTATCAATGTCACAAAAAAATTAAATTAAAATTAAATTAAATTAAATTAAAAGAACGTAATAAACGAATCTAGACATAAATCATTAATTGATATAAATAAAATAAAGGTTATATATATAATTAATTGTGCATAAACATAATTAGAATAAAAACGAATTTACGTTAGAAAAAAAGCATTGTTTTTATAAATTAACTGCTTATTGAAGTATACATGCATACTTATAAAGATGTGAAAAGTAGATTACATCAGTTGAGTGTTTTCTTATCTTATTTATATAAAAGCGCCGCAAACTGATAATGTTCAAAAGACCGTTAGATGAGATAACCGAAAGAGCAATAGTGCGATCTAATAGCAAGTACAAAATCTCTAAAATTATACTTTTATGCAATAATATACAAAATTATCGCAGAGAAAGACTGGTCATCTATAAAAATTTACAAAAATACACCACCAAATACATCAATAAAATGTAAAACAAAGAAACTAGTATAAGAAGATGTTACTAAAATACATACAATATGAAAAATAAAAATCCAATAAATATGGCTTTGAAATATGAAAATTTTATGTTATTATTGTAATAAATTTTAATGAAATTTTTGACAAATGTAATTATTGTTAAAATAATAAATAAAAAATAAAGTTAAAATAATAATTTAAAAAAAACTTAAAATTTAGAAAGTATGTTTTTTCTCATTCATTTTTACTAATAAAATAAATAAAAGGTATTTACAAAAATAATCGATTAGAGACGAAATTTAAACTGAAAGTTTTACTAAAATGCATTTTTAAAATAATAAAGCATTAAAATTGAGCAGGAAAAGCGAAATATTGTGTACATACTTCATATGATGTATTTATTATTATTAATATATGATGTAATTATTTTATTATTTTTTTTTTATAATTGTTACATTTTATTTATTCAATTTTTAATTATTAGTAAAAAATAATTATTAATTATTATTAATGTTTTATTTATTCATTAATGTTTTATTTATTTCACATTTTTATTTATGTAATTTTGATAAGGCGTTCAAAAGAAAATATATTCAAAACAACGAAAAAAAACAGAAACTGTAAAAACAAACTTTCGCAGGTCTTTATGTAAACATTACATTTATAACGTTTGTAGATCACATAGATACTTTTTTGTTTACATCTCGAACATGAACATTCAGAATCAGTTTAGTTCACGACGAATAAGCTAATGCTGTACCATGGCAGAAAAATGAAGATAATGTAATTTAGTTTGTTATTTAATTACCTATCAGATTTATTTCATTACTTTTGTGAAATAAATAAGAGATTTTAAAAAATATTTAAATATTTAATATTTAATTAATTAATTAAATATTTAATATTTAAAAAAATCATGAAATAAACGTGATTTTTTGACGGTCATTAGTTATAACAAACCGTTTCCTATGTTTATAGAAAACTTTTTTGTTCCAAATTCAATTTCCCATAAGATCCTGAAGTTTCTCTAACCTGACCTGAAACACCCTGTATAATATGGAAAATTAACAATAATACAGAGTGTATCTGAAATGACAATTAAACTTTAAAAGCGTATGTTAGAGATTAAAATAAGATTTTTTTTCTTATGAACATGGGTCCGCAAATGAACCCCTCTCTGAGCTAAAATTCGAAAATGTATGAAATTGACCAAACACCCGCAACGCAAATTTATTTATCTCTCAAGAGAGAGTGATAGGTAACATCAAAAACTTCTTTTTTTCTGGAATACAGCCAATTAATTTTTAATTTTTTCCTCAAACTTTAGCTTTAGGACCTCTAGCTCGGAAAGGGTTCATTTGTGGACCCATGTTCATGGGGAAAAAAGTCTTATTTTGACCTCTAGAATAAAGTTTAATGCATCATTTCAGATACACCCTGTATATATCTGGTCATCTGGTTATCAGAATTAAATATTACATTTTTGATTTGAAGTTTATCAATATTTAGATACAATCGTGTTTGTTAATGCATTAATTTGAAGAATAGAGAATCAATCATTTTATTCGATTTAAAAAAAATTAATTCTTAAATTTTATACTAAGATAAAATAGAAAAAAGTACACTAAAATATTTAATTAATCATATATATATTGAAATATATAACTAAATATCTAATATCTTAATATGTGGGTAATATGGTATTTTATTCTATGCCCTTCAGAGAGGGTTAACGCAGCATTGTCGACGTCGTTGCACGTGGTATATAGAACTTTGAAAGCGATCGATCGAGTTATACGCTCTAAATATCGATCGGCCAGCCATACCAGAAGTTACACTTTCACCTACATGTATATACGTAAGTATATCAGTACGAACCTTGAATACGAAGGGTTGGGATTAATTAATTTATAATGTGTTCTTACACCTATCTAATCTACGATATATAGAGTGACTTTACTCGAGCGAGGAAATAAAAAAAGTTGTGCATTTTTTCTCTCTTTTCTTTTTTCTTTTTTTACGAAAGTCAAAGCCTTTTTTTTCTCCATGTCGGTCTGAGAAACAATAATTTGTTTTCACCGCATAATTAGATCATATATCTAGACATAATGATACTTGTTAATAAAAGATAACTTTGATCTGATGAGTTTTTTATCTTGGTACATTATAAAGCGGAATTACACACATTATCATCAATCTTTTGATATGATCTTATCTTATCGCGGTTACATGTAGAAATTATGCAACGGAATTCTCGCCTAATGGAGAATGAAAGCGAATAAAAAGAATCACGTTATTCCAAAAACTGAAGCACTTGATAGTCCAATAAAATTAGATTAATTACAATTGGGACAAAATTAATTTCGGAACGATTTAATGTTACGGATGTCGATAATTAGATTACTCAAGTATATGTAAGATCTCTAACTTCGAAGATGTGGGTATACATTTCTAGCTGGAGTGATAGACACGAGAGTGTGTTTTGAGAACGAATAAATCGCATCGCAGAAAAAGGTCGATAGAGCAAAGTGGGTGTCATCACATATCAAGATAACACTGTCAAGATCCAATGAAATAGTGCGATATCGTATGTGACGTTTGTCGACTCACTGTGTGTGCACTGACATGCCCTTAGTCCGTCCGGCGCTCTGTCCCTCGATATTCTCTCGCTCGCTGTCTCTCCCCGGTTCCGTCTTTCCGTTCGCGCAAATACGCTGACATGTATCTTTCTTTCGACACGTGTACGTGGGGATATCGCGATTTGTGCACGCGCGTGCGAACGAGTGCGTTTTCGCGCATCGATCTCACTTTTTGGCGAGTCTAATTCCCGATGCCGCCTCGACGCGCTCTCTTGCTCTCATGACGATCGCCGAAAAAAACCGGCCGAGGAAACGGGGGATCGGAAGGAGAGAAGGGAAGGGTCGAGAGCGCGATGTCCGGATGTTCGTCGTGAAAATAGACTCACCGGGGAGGAAAAGAAAGGAGGGACGAGGCCGAAAACTTCCGAGATCCCTCCGAGATACGCGTCGCGCCCACGCGATTATCGAGGGGCGACCTCGATCGACCACCTCGGGATTCTCCTGCCCGCCAAGAGAAGCGAACCGTCCTGACAAAGGAGGCAAGAAGCACTGGTTTGGCTTCGTCGACGTTGCTAATCGCGCCTCGTCTTGCGCGTTGCACACCGCCTATCAGCGATGAACAGATGGCGAGAAACATGCACGCGTGTGTGCGTTTATGTTGACGGGGAACGGAAAGGGAGGTATAAACGGGAGCGAACGCATGCGTAAGGGGTTGAAAAAGGGGGTGGAATTTGGATGGTCCGACCGAGGCCGAAAAATCGATCGAGTTGCCTTCCAGGTTGCTTCGCCGTCGTTCGCATAGATTACGTTGCTCCCTGTATCGACTCCTCGAGGTCGTTCTCGAATTTATTTGTAATCCGTACCCAGCAAACACTGAGTAACATTTATATAATTGTTATTCCTGTAATTTCCCACTCAACAATATAACTATTACATGTTATGTAACTGTTACATAACTGTTATATAACTGTTACATAACTGTTCGTATAACTATTAGTTATAATTTCCCACTCAACAATAAACTGTTACGTGTTATGTAACTGTTACATAATTGTAACTGTTGTTATGTAATAGTTACATAACATGTAATAGTTTATTGTTGAGTGGGGAATTATAACTAATTATAAAATTGTAACTAACAGTCGTGTAACTATTAGTTATAATTTCTCACTCAACAATATAACTATTACATGTTATGTAACATTTAGATAACAACAGTTACAGTTATGTAAATAGTTACATAACATGTAATAGTTATATTGTTGAGTGGGAAATTATAATTAATAGTTATACGACTGTTAGTTATAATTTCTCACTCAATAATATAACTGTTACGTGTTATGTAACTGTTACATAATTGTAACTGTTGTTATGTAATTGTTACATAACATGTAATAGTTTATTGTTGAGTGGGAAATTATAACGAATAGTTATACGACTGTTAGTTATAATTTCCCACTCAACAATATGACTGTTACATGTTATGTAACAGTAACATAACAACAGTTACAGTTATATAATGGTTATATAACATGTAACAGTTATATTGTTGAGTGAGAAATTATAACGAATAGTTATACGACTGTTAGTTATAATTTCCCACTCAACAATATAACTGTTACATGTTATGTAACAGTAACATAACAATAGTTACAGTTATATTGTTGAGTGAGAAATTATAACGAATAGTTATATGATTGTTAGTTATAATTTCCCACTCAACAATATAACTGTTACATGTTATATAACCATTATAACAGTTACATAACAACAGTTACAGTTACATAACAGTTATGTAACATGTTATGTAACAGTTATATTGTTGAGTGAGAAATTACAAGTAACGATTACACAAATGTTATTTGGTGTTTGCTGGATATTGTCGCACGTAGAAGGCCGTCACACCGAGAACATCATTTCGTGCAAAATTCAGCGTTTGACGCATCGTTGGACTAGATGAAGAGGAGAAGGGAAAATGATAGTAATGTAGCTTCGAAGTAACAACTATATCAACATATATAACAGCAACGTTGAAGACGAGCTGTCAACAGATAGATAGATTGGAGTACGTCCGGGCAAAAATATTCTAACAGATCCTGGACGAGACAGAAAGAGAGAGAGACGCGCGACAGAGTTGTTTCGGAGAACTTGATGAGTGGAATCCGCTCAACACTTTAGATACGCCGTCGTGTATTTAAGCGGAAGCTGTAATTGAATCTGTTGGAGCCAGCTGTTGCCTTTAACTCAATTGTAACTCGAGTCTTCGTTTTATACGCTCGCAGAGTTATTTACCGATAACATCCGCTTGCGCGCGTCCCCGTCATGAGAAAACGATTTTATCCCCCCGGTTGTGTCACTCTCCTTATTCATTTTCAAATCTCACACATTCACATGGATATAATCACTTACATTTACATCGACGGCACAATAAAAATACCGATAAGTAAGTTTTAATTATCAAAGTCGCTCGCGCGGATGTATATGTACTTTTAACTGCTACATGCAAGAATAAGAAAATATGAGAAACCTGCCGAACGTATCTGCATTCCCTGCAGCTGCAGCGGACGAAGAAGTGGGGTGGGGGTGGGGACGACGGAAAGGAAGAAGGACAGAGGGAAGGAGACACTTTCCTTCATCTGCAACGAAAGTATTATGCAACGCAAACAGGCCGGACAAACGCGGAAGAACTTTCTTTGGCTGAATTCATGCAAGGCGCATGCACTTCCATTCTCCTTACCTGGATCTCGCGTAAATGCAAAACCGCCGTTTATACCTCGGCTTATGCGTCGTCGCCGCTGTAACTTCCGCAACTGAAACATAAACCTCATATATATCTATCTTATAACATTCCTTGCAATTATCCCCACTTTCTGTTTAACCCCAATTTTAATTCCGACCCCGGTACTTTATTACTTACTTGCTCATTAATCATCTCGTTGATTTGAAAATTTTACGAAATAGTCATCCGATGTATCGCTTGCTGAGATACGTATTAATTGTATTTATTAATATACATATGCAAGTCAATTTATTGCACTTGCATGCGTTAACACATATTTAATCTCTTTAATTAAAATAATTATTATGTAATTGTTTTTGTTGCTTATGTTAATAATAATTAGATTGTATTATTGTCATTAAAAGTGTTTTCAAGTGTTTTCAAGTGTTTTAAATAGTACATCGATATTCATTTCGCATGGAAGGAATGAATAAAGAGAAGATGTATTCTGTAGAGAAAATGCATTGCTAAATCGTTCCATTAATATTCTTCGGATTTCTCAATCCGAAAATTGTTGATTGTTTTATGTTTGTTTGAAAATTGTTTCCGTTTCAATATTTGTTTGTAATAAAATAGCTAAATTTTATATTTTTTTTCTTATTTTTCTTTGTAAAATACACTCTTGCAATTTGTCGGTGAAATTCTGGGACACACTATACAGAGGATCTTACAAATTTATATTACCAATGAAGAGAGGGAGAGCGATTTCGCGGGAAAGAAAAGTCCATACATAATCAAATATATATATTTGATTATGTATGAACTTTTCTTCCCCGTAAAACTGCTTTATTGGCAATATAAATTTATAAAAAAAGTGAAATTTGAAGAAATGAGGCAAAAATTGCCTATACATAAATTTATATTAAAATTATTTTTTTAATTATTTTTCGATTATTCTTCTATTTATTTTTCTTATATATACTGAGATTACAAACCGATCGAGTTTTTTTTCTTAGAGAATAAATGTCATTTGTTGAAGAATTTTATTTTTTTGATTTTCGAAAATCAATTATCAGGGCATTGATAAAACTTTAAAAACAATTGCAACCTATGTTTTTCTTAACTTTATCTTATTATATCGTTAACTTCATTCACCAGAAAGGAATTAAAAAATAACACGTATGTAAAAAAACAACGAGAAGATTGAATTTTCCTAAGATAACTATTTTAAGATACCATGAACAGAGACTATCTGTGATGGTTTTTGAACATTGCAGAAATATTTTCTCAAAAATTATTTTCTCAATCTATGGTTATATCTTTAAAATTAAATCCTTTCGTCCGTTTTTGATAACAAAACCAATTATTTTAATACTAGTGCATAATATAATTATTTACTTATTGTTACTTTATACTTATCTAATTTATTAATGTGAGATTTTATTAATGTATCTTTATTTATTTAATTTATAATTATCTTTAATTATTTAATTAATTAATGTATCTTTAGAAATGGAACATTTTTATGATTTCATATAGGATTATTTCGATTATGTGCAAGGAGGCTACTTAAATCATCTATTTAATTTTTAAATTAATAGAATGGATATATTGTTTTATAGATAAATTTAAACCATGTTTCTTTTGTAGTAATTTTATTAACTTTTTTTTATCAAAGTCATTTTCTATTTGCTTTTATTAGCAATAATAATTGGATAGGGAACACTGTGATTTAATATTTTTTACATTTTTTTTTGCCAAATTTAAAAAGTGATAATATTTTTCAGTGATAATATTTTTTTCCAACAATAAATAAAATATAAAATTAAATAAAATTAAAGCAAAATTGATCTGAAAAATTAGTTTTGTTTTATTTATTTGTTAGTCTGTAATTTATTTCGATTTTTATGCATAGTTAATTTTTTTGCATTTTTTTATTATATATTTGCTCTTACATAGTAGAGTAAATAAAATTTCCAGACTAAATAAATTTCAAAAATATAGCACATAATTATATAAAAAAATCTACAACAATCCCATTAACACAATTCTATATATGCTTTACAACCAACATACAATGATTTAAAATTGTTTGAAAAAGCTTCTTGCACATGGTACCGGTTCAGCTTACTTGTCGCATTCTTTTGAACGCTGGTATATCTCCAAAATAATTTTTAAACATAATTTACAAATTTCTGCAAAGAGCAGCAAAAAGTTCAGATCTGGTGAGTACAGGAGATGTCAAGAAATTCCTTTTTTGAAAGGAAAATATCGTGATAATAAATTCATAAAAAAATAGGAAATAAAATGCACAAACGCATTTTCTTTGGAACAAATCTTGTAATCTAAATACTCCGAATGTATCTTTCAATATTTTAATTATTTTAGTTGTAGGTTTTTAAGATTTAAATGAAAATTAATAGCAGATGTTGTTGCATCTTGAAAATTGCGATACGATAAAAAGAACTTTCGACGAAAGTTAAATAACTCGGTAATCACTTTTATATAACTGGATCCTACATTTAAATATTTGCACATATTCGAGATGAACGTCGATACTAACTAGTTTAATAATTCTCCAAGAGAATGCGCTAGTCGTGCTTTTATAAAAAAAATTTATAATTTTCATTAATCGTCCTGTGTATTTTGTCTTATTATTTATTTTTAATAATATTTCAAGCTCTTCTCATTTAAATAATCTAAGTAAATATATATTAAAATTCTTACATTTTTATTTCTTATTTACACAATTTTTATTTCTTATATACACATTTTTTAAATCTTTTTAATAAGAAAAAATAAATTATATTACATTGTACACTAAAGTAATGAAATCTAAATTTTTTAAACTATTTATTTTCTGATTTTTTAAATTTTGCGTAATGGTATTACACAAAATTAGCGGATTAATTAGCTAATATATCTTGATTAATATTAATAAATTTTATACTGTGCACAAATTATATTTAATTCAATTCTATTTTAATAAAAATTGAAGATTTGATTAATTATTACATTTAAAATTATTTATTGAATCCAATATTTATTTAAAGAAAATGAAATTTTGGGGAATAAATGAAATCAATAGTT